GAGTATCTTCCTCAGTGCATTTCGTATGTTTAGTAAGCCTCTAAAGTATTGAATTTTACCGAACACACCATAGAAATAAAGACCACGCTGTATTATTTCTTGCAAAAAATGAATTTGCTTGACGAAGCACACATTATAAATGTAAAACATAAAAACAATGTTGAGAATAACATAGGTGATGAATTAAGTTCAAGAATTGGAGTATTTAGATATAGGTTGAATTTCAGCTTTACCGGTCTCCAGCTTTAAGACACAATGCCACTTTAATCTTCCACATATATACTAGAAGGTTTCCTTTAATACCAGCAAGCCCTAGAGATCACCTGGCCCAAACTCCTTATGTTAATGATGAAGGAACTTTGTCTCAAAGCATATAAATGATTTACGTATTGATTCTTACTAACACAGTTAGAATTTTTTAAAGCAATCTACCTTCCATTCACTATCTCTAATCGGCTTCTATTCCCATCTCCAAAAGAACTCTTCTGAGCATCTGCTCCCCGCAGTCTCCAGTTCACTCCATCTCTTCTTCCCCTTCTTCTTACCTTACACTTGTCAGAGGAAATTTCCTATCTTGGAACTCTGGGCCCAGACTATCTTTCCAACTTCCTCTGCTCGCTCTCCACCCAGCAAATCCCACACTGCGGCCACAACAAACTTCTTATTCTCAAAATAGACCCTGCCTTTTACCATCCCCTAATGTTTTCAATAGTTTTTCCTTTTTAGAATACCCTTCCTCTAAGACTGTCAGACTTCTGTTCATCCCTCAGGATCCAGTCATCTCCTCTGAGGCACGTTTATTGAGTCCTCCAAGGAGAGCTCATCCATCCCTCTTCCGCGCTTCCTCAACAATCTGTTCATAATAATGTGTTGCGCTCTGCTTCCCTCTTGATATATCTGTTTTGCTCACTAGGTTGCGTTTCTTAAGCGTTAGCATCAGATCTTATTTTTTTCATTTACCACAGTGTTAGCACTTAGCAATATCTGACGGATTGTGGGCACATGATAATTGTTTTAGGAATAAATGCGCCTGGATCCTTTGGCCCCTAAAATCCGGCTGGGCTCTGTATGTTTGGTATTACCTAGTTGGATCCAGAAGCATGGATAGAGATTATATAACACGGGTCATTGTAATGGTTGGCCTAACAGAGCCAATTAACATAGTCTCTGCTGAGGTCCAAATCAAGACCTCTATTATTGGGGATTGCTATATAGGTAGCCAGAAAGGCACATGACACCTCAAGAATCAGATTCAGAGGACATGTATGAATTCTGGTGTGTAAGTGTATGTTTGTGTAATAGTAACTACTAAAATAGGTACCACGTCAGATTAGTTCTTCTATCACTGATACGTCTTTATAGGAATTGGGTAGACAGATAGGTAGACATCCCTCTACCTAGTTAAATCCTCTTCTGTGCTCTTTCCTTGAGCTCCACGCTTGGCCTTACCAGGTTGTAATATCTGTAGAAACAGAAGTTGCTGTTATTTCCAGATTCTCTACAAGGAGAATTTTGGCGCTGTTGCTGCAGTTGTAATGACGTCTGCTTTTATCAGCATCTGTATTTCCTTTAGCTCATTCCCTCAGCACATTTACGCTGCAGGAGAGACCAATCTCTCAGTCAGGGTTAGAAATCTTAAAACTCCTGTTATTCCTTCTACTTTGCACATTTGTATCTGCTTGGTTCACCCGGGACTGACCACTGCGATTTTCCTGGTCATACTATCCCCTGGCCATCTGCTTTACAAGGGAGCCTGTTTTGTTAGCTCCCCGCCCCCTACTCCAGCCACAAGGAAAGGTCTGGGCTACTATTTGTCCTTCTAAATTCCATGATAAATCACATATTTTGCCATACTCATAATCCTCTAAATGACCATACCTAGTGAATGGTCACCATGTCAATGACCTCTCTGTCAAGGTTTCAATGGTCTTGCTGACCGTCTTGGCTCTATTTTTCAGTTAGATGCAATATCTCTGTCTTGTCTCCTGGCCAACGCCGTACCACACCACAAGCCCATGGGTTAAATCTCTGCACGCTCTTGCAACTCTTACATTTTACTAAATCTTCCGTTGCATCGCTGTCTACACGTAAAATAAGATGTTGATCCTGAATGAAAAGAACCATGTTTAACATAACTAAGATATAACTTACCTTCATATCTCCACTGACCAGGCAGAAAAACTCTTGTCAGTACTTTTAATTCATTTACCTCTTATGTGGATATTGGCTGTGATTCAGTCTTCAGTATCTCCTGCCTCCAGATCCAGAAGATAGATTAGATTGATCAATTGACAGATAGATAGAAAGACACATAGATCTGTTGCCCCAATAGCATCCTTGCTCTTACTTTGAATTTAAAAACAAGTTCCTATTAACTTCAAATAAGGTTTGCATCTGCAAATGTTGTTATAAATCATCACCAGAAGATAGACGTGAGTGTGAGGTACTTTATTCTTAATAATTTGGTACACAAGTTGAGCTTTAATACATTGGAATGAGCATCAGATCACAAAGAAATGCAGGCATTCATTGTAAATCGTTAGGAGGAAACCATAAGTGGGCTACCAAGACTGTAGTTGCTTGAGTGAAATGGAAAGGATGCCAGTTTACATAATTATACAGAAATGTACAGAGCACGGCTATGTAGTCAAGGGGTTTAATCACTGTCGTCACAAAAAATAACAAGTACTTCTTCTCATAATTTTGTCACTTGCACACATTTCCGTGGCAAAGAGCCAAGTGCATTTAATGCAATTCAAGAATGACAAGGAGAATTGATGGCCTCTAATGAGCAATTGATTATCAGTAAACAGGAAAGTATTAAGAATCCAGTTTAAACTGTTCAGAAAAGAGAGCCATTTCCATTTGCTGTGGCTCTTCATCCAACCTTATTGGAGTAAGGTATAAGAAGGGCAAACAATTCTTGGATTTTATTATTTAAGATAATGAACTGCAAATTGTGAAGATAAGTGTAAATCGTGGTTTAAAAAATATGCGTGTGCGGGAATAACCCACAGCGTCTCGTAATTCACTTAAACCATGACCTGTGTCTTTGGTCTTAAAACTACTAAAATGATTGGAGAAAAAAATGGATTAAAAAGTGTATTGTACTATATTATTATCTCAAAGACTGATTATTATGCAAAAATGTGTTCCAATTTCAATTTTAAAAACTACTCATTTGTTCTCAACAGCTGTAATCTGAGATCCCACGGGATGACATATGAGGATACACAGGAAACTTTGGGAGCCTATTGTTGGTTTGGTGACTTGATTCACCAAGGGTACTTGGCCAAGATTTCCACTGTCTCAAGCTATAATAATATGGTGGCTACAATGTAATTCATCACAGCTGGGATCTCATAATATACGAAACACAATAAGGACCTGAAAATGTACTAGAGAGAAGATCACAGGGTATATCTTTTAAGTATTCTTCACCTTGGTTGGATCTTCATGCAGCAAAATAGAGAAGAGTTAGAAGAGTATGTTGTTGACATTGAGTAGGTGGCATTGGTTATACGGTAATAACATTTTGCATTGGCTTCCTGGAGTTTGTTGAGGTCTTGCTAGTATACAGCATATTAAAAGAGTATAAGGTCTCCATTGCATCTGACTGTATTTTACAATTCACTTCAATTAGTCAAATGTTTGTTGCCTTCCTGTCATAAGCCAGACATTGTGGTAGTTGGGGATACAAAGATGATAGCTGTAAGAGAAATAACACTATTTCAACTAGTAAATAGTCATCTTTCATACTAATTAATATTTTTAAAAAATCCTTTCCTTCGGGCTGGCCCTGTGGCCGAGTGGTTAAGTTCGCGCGCTCCGCTGCAGGCGGCCCAGTGTTTCGTTGGTTCGAATCCTGGGCGCGGACATGGAACTGCTCATCAGACCACGGTGAGGCAGCATCCCACATGCCACAGCTAGAAGGACCCACAACGAAGAATATACAACTATGTACGGGGGGCTTTGGGGAGAAAAAGGAAAAAAAAAAAAAAATCCTTTCCTTCTATGGTTATTCACTTAAGGTCTACTCAGATACTATCTTCCTTTTTTGGATATAAATTTATACACCATTAATTAATTTTTGTTGAAAACAGTAGTCACATACAAGAAGTTCTAATGCCCATTAATACTCAAATGGCATTTAAGGGAAAGTTTATTATTACAAATCTATCATGTCAAAAATTTTATATTTTCTCTTTATGCTTCATAATTTAAAATTGTCTTGCGATATCTCTTTCATCTAAATCAGTAATTTTTAAGCACAAATGGGGTGTCGTCATGCCTCCCTTTGAGAATTTCTGAAAAGTTATGCAACTTCCTACCAGAAAAATGCATATACTCACTTATATAAACACAATATAGTACATGTATTTCCTGAGAATTGATCAAGTTGAGAAACACCACATTAAATGTGGTGAGTAAGAGTGCATAAATTTCTAAAGACACAACCTGTGAAATGATAACTCAATTTGGAAATTAAAAGAAGATCTTTTAAGCCATTAGGTTTTTGGATTAAAATTTAGTTTCCTATCCAAATTACTGATACATTTATATTCTGCCACAAATATAAGGCTTCACTTTCTCGCTGTGATGGAAAATAAATTATTAGGCCAGTCTTCTGATGAATTTAGATCAGAATATTAGGACTTTCCTAAGCATGACCATATGTAAAAATGATTCAGGATATATGTGTCTGCATGGATGGGTTACAGCTTTGTTAAGGCTGCGGCTGCTATTGTAACGGACAAGCTACAATCCTATGAGATCTTTTAAAATGTAATCGAGTCCCATCATCCTTCTGTGCTTCTGGGGCCCAGAGAAGCTTAGTAGAGTCGATGTCATTAGTTTGTCTTTGGAACATTTCCAGAGTTGAACAGGTGACACTATAAACATAGCCCCGTCTTGCTGTTTGGAGCGAGCAAGTGGCTCTACAAGGTGGCTCCTTCTGGATGTAAATTGATTTTAATGATTTCTTTCTTTCTCCCGGGTAGGATTTATGTGGGCATCATTCATGTGACACCCTGGGAATGGCAGACGTTGGGACCATATGCTCTCCAGAGCGCAGCTGTGCTGTGATTGAAGATGATGGCCTCCACGCAGCTTTCACCGTGGCTCACGAAATTGGTATGCGACGCCTTTTCTCTTCCCTTGCCAAATCAAACACTTGTAACAGCTGCAACAGGAACCAAAATTCTTGGCAATTAATTCCAGATTTTTCCTGGTTCAGATGTCCCATTGGGGATTAAATTTGTTTATATTTGCACTTTTAGGGTTAACTAATAAGGGAGAAGGAAGGCAAAATCAGGCCCATAGTAGATGTTTTCTTTCTGACAGTGTCATTTAAAAGTTTAAGAGAAATTTACTACTGCTACTTCTTTTTAAGCATCCATAAATGACTCTTAGGTGAAATTTGTCACAGTCAACTATGGAATGCAGAGGTGTTACTCAAGATGATATTGACTCATCCAGGGCTAATCAGATCTGTTTTCAAAGAAATTGATCATGTTTTATTCCATTGTGAGTGATAATAGGCAACTCCTGTCAAAGGTAATCCATAGCTATGGTAAACATTTCTGTCTCATTTTTAATAGCACAGCAGATGAAACCAAGCCCAAAAGTCAACAGAGTTTGGTTTCAAATATCACTTTACCCTATTTGTTTGTCATAAGAAACATATCTAAATCCTAAAACTAGAAATTTAGGACTGCGTTAATTGTTGAAAAGTATCCCAGTAAATAGGAATATGTGTTTCCTAATCATTGACCTAGGCTACTAGGTGTATGAGTAGTTCAGTACTTAAGACGTGATGTTAGAATTAGACACATCTGGGCTCAATTCTTGCTAAATTATTTTCTACCTGTGTCACATTGATCTCATTATTTAAACTCTCTAAGCCTTGGTTTTCATATCTGAAATATAGGAATAATAGTGCCTATTTCATGGATTATTTTAAGGATCAAATTGTGTAGGTTATAGATACCAGCTGTTATTTATATCCACGTACACTTCTGTTTTGCTCTTTAAACATTTCATTGAGTTTTTAATATACGTATCACCTTTTAGCATCATCTTTTGGGGGACAAAGTATGTTTTAATAATTACTTTACTTTTTTGCTGTATTTTATTAAACAGATGTAGGTTTTTTAAGCTAAAACCATAATTTTTAAATAGAAATTGAAACTTCTTTTTCGCATTTCTAGTAGACAAAGAACATTTGGCAAGGTGTCGATTTCTAGCTGCTGTGTTTTTTGGGGAACGTTAAAATAACTTCAAATCAAAGGTATAATTATATAAGGCTGTATATTGCAGCAGTGAAATTGAAATCAGTGGTTAAATTTTAATTCTTAAGTATTAATTATGACCTTAATTTTCCTAACACACTCTTCTTACTATATAAGCAAAAAAAAAACGCCAACATAAAATCTTAACATAAATAATTGTCCAACAGCCTCACTGTTATAATAATTTGATTCAGCACTTGATTACTTGAGATAATAATTCAATTTAACAGTTTATTAATGGAGCATCTTTAGCTTCGGGAGCCAAAGATCTGAGATGGATTCCCAGTTCTGTCTCCATGTTCCCTGTTTTATCTCAGACAAATGATTTAGATACTCAGAGTCTCTATTTCTTCCCTATAAGGTGGACTAATGATGAGGCACGACTCGCTGTATACTGCACTAGAAGAGCTGGTATGCCGGAAAATGTTTTTAAAACACACATGCCATTTGAGCTTCAGGTTTAGGATCATATCTTCACCTGTCTCTCACTCATGCCTATTAAACTAACTGACAAAAATACAGCCCAATATAGATCCTTAATCCATATTTATTACATGTCTACGTATGTACATGTAAGTAAGCAGGAGACACACAAGAGCTGCCCGAGGCAACATTCCAATTTTGCAGCAGAAACTAAGAGAAATTAATCCAAATACTCAAGAGGATTATAATTAAGCAAAGATGATTTAAAAAGTATACAAGTAGTTAATCATCATTATTCGGAGTGAGAGAAGTCCCAAGAAAGGTTCCAAATCCCTGGGTGGGCAGAGGTTGCTTCGTCTCAGACCGGGTAGAAGAATGATGAGGAATAAGCAACAGAGTTGAATTGTGGCGTCATCCATCCATAAGATTATGAGTCCTAAATCCTGATCTTCTAAAGAAGAGATTACAGAGGGCCAGCCCAGTGGCATAGTGGTTAAGTTTGCTTGCTCTGCTTTGGTGGTCTGGGGTTCACTGGTTCAGATCCTGGGTGCGGACCTACACACCGCTTATCAAGCCATGCTGTGGCAGCATCCCACATAGAAGAACTGGAAGGACTTAGAACTAGGGGCTTTGGGGAGGAAAAAAAAAGAAAGAAAGTAAGAAGAGATTACAAATTCCTTGAAAGAAGGACTATTTCTTCCTTCTATCCTATAGTGACTTCTTTTCACACATTGACAGTATACGGGAGGTTTCCCTGTAAGAGAACCTCTGTAGCAGTACATGCAGCTTCTTTGGGGGCTGCATTGACTCTCAAGGAAGCTAGGCTGGAATGAAGAACCTTCTAACCCCACCTTTCCCATGTCTCCTGAATTACTAAACCAAGGGTTTACACAGGCAGGTACAGCAGTCTGAGAGGCAGGAACCAGATGCTGATGAGAACAAATGTTTGATTTAAACTACATATGTACAATAAGAACTTTTCATAACAGTACAAGAATATTGGACATAGTTTGACAAGAGAACAATGTAGGAGAAATGTGGGCTTCTATGCAGAGAATCAAACCTGAGTCTTTTATATATGGTTATGCCTGTGTTCATTTCAGTGTCTTGGTTGGATCATCTCTATTTGCTTCTTTAGAATTCTCTGTAATTCATTGTCCACTGACACGCTGCCTACGTAGTTTCTCATTTTGCATTACATATGTCCTAACTGAGAAATGTAAGGTCTGGGGAGAGGGGGATATGGATTTAATTTCCCTTTCATAAAGGGACCTGGCTTTCATTCACTTTGTTTCCTAATTGCTTTATTATTCTTTAATTTCACTTTTTGCCTAAATATTGTGAACATGTGTTATAAAGTATGAGCCTTAAAAAATGTAGAGAAGATAACCTTACAAAATATTTCCTACTCATCTGTATATGATTACAGAGTCTTGCCTCTGCAGCCAGTGAGGTCTTGGGTAATGCCACTGGCTGATCTGTTTCCAGTGCTTTATTTTTAGATTGTTGCATGAAGCCGTCAGTCCTAGCTAACATGCTCTAGATTCTAATTCTACTCCATTCTCCTCATGTCATTTCCTCCCTTCCCTTTTATTAGACATTTACTACTTCTGTATTTGAAAGTTTTATATAGAGGCTACGTATGGAGATGAAAATGACGTTGTGAAACCTCGGTTTTGCTAGAATGTTTTGAATTTGCTTGAGCCCATTCCAAAATGTGCAATTTGCTTCATGCACACAGTGTAAATATGTTGCTGTACTCAAAACATAAGCTGTGAAGAAAATTTCCAGGCTATTCCCATAATTTTCTACTTTATTTCTTCTATAAGCAGGAAAAGGATATATTTGATTAAGAATAACACTTTCGTTAGCCAGCCCTTGAGGTCTAGTGGTTAAGATTCGGTGCTCTCACCGCTGTGGCTGAGTTTGTTTCTGGTCAGGGAACTACACCACCCACCACTCGTCCGTTGGTTGTCACACTGTGGTGGTTGCATGTTGCTGTGATGCTGAAAGCTATGCCACTAGTATTTCAAATACCAGCATGGTCACCCACGGTGAACAGGTTTCAGTGGAGCTCCAGACTAAGACAGACTAGGAAGAAGGACCTGGCCACCCACTTCCAAAAAAATTGGCCATGAAAACTCTGAACAGCAACAGAGCATGGTCTGATACAACACCGGAAGGTGAGAGGATGGCACAAAAAGACACGGCAGGGTTCCGCTCTGCTGTACACAGGGCTGCTAGGAGTCAGAATCGACTCGATAGCACTAACAACTCCACTTTCATTAACCTACTTAAAGTTTCCCATGGACTGTCCCACTGCTTCCTTTTTCTATACATGGTGGTTTAAAATACAAACCCATTGCACTGGAATCAAAGTTTCCTTTGCTCTTAGACACCCTCCATCTAAATAATTGCCTACATTGAGAATTAACATTTAGGATAAATAGAGGCAAGTCTGAAGGCCCTATCTTGCACCTTTTCTCTCCATGGTGTTAAAGTCAGAATGAAGTGACTTAAATGAACAATTCTGAAAAGTGACTCTTTTCAGGTACCACATGTTAACTGGACCACTTTTCTTTTCGCGCTAATTCTTTCCCCAGAACAGCTAGATTTTGGAGGTACGTCGTTAACTGACGCCAATACAGGCTTCTGGAAAATAGGTTTTGATGAGTATAGACTCTCCGTAGGCAGTAATAATTTGCCTCCTTGCTATGTTATGTGCATGTAAACATTGACTAAATTGTTAGGACATTTAAGAAACTTTCTTTAACTGTCAAGAACACAGTCCCCATTCCTATGCCTGAGTGGAGGCAAGAATGTGGTTACAGCTATTTTATAACCCAAATGTGAATCACAGAAAGTTTTCAGTGAATGTAAGTTTACATTTTGAGTTTATATTTTTAACTTGTCCAACTTTTATTTTGGCTCGTAATAATAAAGATTTCACCTGCTGCACACATGGTTCCTCAAACTAATAATTTTATTGATGTTGGGCCAGCTTGTACTGTGCTAGGGGGAACAATCTGATTCTATTTAGACTAATGAAATCCATGATTTGCAAACTTGCCGAAGCTTTGCTTTGTAGTAGTTAATTATAAAACGTGCTAAGTGAATCTCTCCACCATAAAAGACTCTAAAATGCTTCCTAAGCTAAAGTCAGGCAACTTAAAAAGTCAAAGCCAAATATTCCGCTGGAGGCCTGGGAAATGGCTGAGACACAACAGCATGGCTGCCTGTGTTTTGCTGTGGTTAGAGGGAGTTCTCTGGTTGTGCTGATCTGCGTGTGACTGCGCTCCCACAGATGATTAGATTAAACAAGGCTGTGTTTTGAAAAGCTGCAGAGGCCCTCGAAACACCATAGACCACAGCCAAGTGCACAGAATCAGATGTCAGGACTGGCTGTGAGATGTGACGTGA